GATTTCTGGGATTCCTGGGATTTCTGGCATTCCTGGTATTCCTGGGACAGATTCCCGGGATTTTTCACCTTTTCCAGCTGGGCGTGGACGGGGTCCGGCTGTTCCGGGGTGTCCAGGCTCAGCTCCAGGAGGATCCGGCCGGGAACGCAGGGCCGGGCCAGGGACTGGGCCAGCTGGAACGGGGCCCGGAGCCGCGGGTCCAGGTTCAGCAGCTCCAGGAACCCGGCCCGGAACCCGCTCCTGGAACATCCCACAATTCCCAAAAATATTCCAGAACCCGCTCCTGGAACATTCCCACAATTCCCAAAAATATTCCAGAACCCGCTCCTGGAACATTCCCACAATTCCCAACATTCCCAAAAATATTCCAGAACCCGGCCCAGAACCCGCTCCTGGAACATTCCCAAAATTCCCAAAAATATTCCAGAACCCGCTCCTGGAACATTCCCACAATTCCCAACATTCCCAAAAATATTCCAGATCCAGGAACCTGGCCCGGAACCCGCTCCTGGAACATCCCAGAATTCCCAAAATTCCCAAAAATATTCCAGAACCGGGCCCGGAACCCGCTCCTGGAACATTCCCACAATTCCCAAAAATATTCCAGAACCCGGCCTGGAACCCGCTCCTGGAACATTCCCAGAATTCCCAAAATTCCCAAAAATGTTCCAGAACCCGGCCTGGAACCCGCTCCTGGAAAATTCCCAAAATTCCCCAAAATATTCCAGAACCTGATCCTGGAACATTCCACAATTCCCAAAATTCCCCAAAATATTCCAGAACCCGGCCTGGAACCCGCTCCTGGAACATTCCCACAATTCCCAAAATTCCCCAAAATATTCCAGNCAATTCCCAAAATTCCCCAAAATATTCCAGAACCCGGCCTGGAACCCGCTCCTGGAACATTCCCACAATTCCCAAAATTCCCCAAAATATTCCAGCTCCCAGATCCTGCTCCTGAAACATTCCCAGAATTCCAAAAATTCCTGAAATTCCAGTTCCAGGAACCCCACCCAGAACCCGCTCCTGGAACATTGCCAAAATTCCTGGAATCCCAGCTCCAGGGATTCCACTTGGAATCCACTCCTGGGATACCAACACTGACATTCCCAGTATTCCCAAAATTCCCCGAATTCCCAAAATTCCCAAAATTCCTGGAATTCCCAGACCACCGCCATCCTCTCACCCCCTTCCACCCCATTCCCAAAACTCCCAGAATTCCCAGAATTCCCAACCCATTCCCAGGATTCCCAGAATTCCCGGAATTCCTGAATTCCCAGGATTCCCAGAATTCCTAAATTCCCAGAATTCCCGAATTCCCAGGATTCCCAGAATTCCCAGAATTCCCAAAATTCCCAACCCATTCCCAGAATTCCCAGAATTCCCAGAATTCCCAGGATTCCCAAAATTCCCAACTCATTCCCAGAATTCCCAGAATTCCCGGAATTCCCAGGATTCCCAGAATTCCCAGAATTCCCAAAATTCCCGAAATTCCAGCTCCAGGAATCTTCCCAAAATCCACTCCTGGGTCACCACCACCATCCTCACACCCCCTTCCATCCCATTCCCAGCATTCCCAAAATTCCCAACCCATTCCCAGAATTCCCAGAATTCCCCAAATTCCCGACCCATTCCCGAAATACCCAGGATTCCCAGAATTCCCAGAATTCCCAAAATTCCCGAAATTCCAGCTCCAAGAATCTTCCCAAAATCCACTCCTGGGTCACCACCACCATCCTCACACCCCCTTCCACCCCATTCCCAGCATTCCCAGCATTCCCAAAATTCCCAACCCATTCCCAGAATTCCCAGAATTCCCAGGATTCCCAGAATTCTCAGAATTCCTAAATTCCCAGGATTCCCAGAATTCCCAGAATTCCCCAAATTCCCAGAATTCCCGAAATTCCAGCTCCAGGAATCTTCCCAAAATCCATTCCTGGGTCACCACCACCATCCTCACACCCCCTTCCACCCCATTCCCAGCACTCCCAAAATTCCCAAAATTCCCAACCCATTCCCAGAATTCCCAGAATTCCCCAAATTCCCGACCCATTCCCGAAATACCCAGAATTCCCAAATTCCCAGGATTCCCAGAATTCCAGCTCCAGGAATCTTCCCAAAATCCATTCCTGGGTCACCACCACCATCCTCGCACCCCCTTCCACCCCATTCCCAGCATTCCCAGCATTCCCAAAATTCCCGACCCATTCCCAGAATTCCCAGAATTCCCAGAATTCCCGGGATTCCTAAAGGCCCAGGATTCCCAGAATTCCCAGGATTCCCAAAATTCCCAAAATTCCCAACCCATTCCCAGAATTCCCAAAATTTCCCAAAATTCCCGAAATTCCAGCTCCAGGAATCTTCCCAAAATCCGCTCCTGGGTCACCACCACCATCCTCACGCCCCCTTCCATCCCATTCCCAAAATTCCCAAAATTCCCAACCCATTCCCGGAATTCCCAGAATTCCCGGAATTCCCAGAATTCCCGGGATTCCCGGTTTTCCTCACTCGCCGGCGGCGCTCTTGGACAGGGAGTAGAGGCTCACGAGCTGCAGCTCGGTGGCCACGGGCGGCCCCAGCTCGCCCAGGAGGCGCCGGAAGGGCAGGAAGGGGCGCCGGGGGCTGAAGGATCGCTCCTGGTGCACCTGGGCAGGGAAAGAATTCCCAAAAAAAAAAATTAAAAAATTCCCAAATACATCCCCCCCCCAAAAAAAAAAAAAATTCCCACGGGGAAAAAAAAAATTACCCCGGAAAAAAAAAAAAAAATTCCCACGGGAATTGTGGCAAAAATTTCCTTCCCCCCGAAAATAAAAAAAATTCTCCCCGAAAAAAATTCCCCAAAAGAATTTCTTGAAACTGTTCCAAGAAAGAATTCCT